AATCAAATTCAAATCCAGATTTTTTAAATCAAATCAAATTCAAATTCAGATTTTTAAATCAAATCAAATTCAAATAAATTTAAGGGTAGGGTGAAATGATCTATATTTCAATAGTGATCATATTACTAAAATTTTTTACAATAACATTTAATTAAAACCAGGTGATGATCATATTTTATTTATATTGTGTAATTTAGACAAATTTTGATTAAGTTAGGAAGAATTAATAATATATGTAAGTATATTTTTTTCGAATATAACAAAGGTTCAAATTTTATTATTATAATTAAATAAGTTTAATATATATACTGTAAAAATTTTACAAAAAAAAATCAGATTTTTAAAAACTTTTATATATAATGTATGTTCAATTTTTGGATAAAATTTTTTTAGTTGATATTCTTATATAGAAAATGATCTACATTTACTTTACCTTTAATATTTGATTTAATTTGATTTTGAGGAACTCTAATTCTGATGGTTAAAAATACTACTAATATTCGAATAAAGAGCAGTGTGACAAAGAGGTTACTTTAATAACAAAAAAAAAAAAAGAATTATTTAAAATTTTTAGATTTTAATTGATTATAATTTAATTTTAAAATTTTCTGATGATTAGACATATAAATTAAAGATATACTTTTATATTCTGTAATCATATAGTATATAATTTTTTTTTTAATTTTACAACTAGCCTCTTTGGGCTAAGGTTTTTATTTAAATATTTGAGTAAGAAAGCTTACAAAAGAACTACCTATTACATTAAAGAGTATATCTAGCTATATATATACTTTTGGTCTTTAATTTAAGTAGTCTGCTTATTATTATATAGGTTCTACACTATATGCTATATCTGTAACCCAACTATGGGTATTATCTATTTAAACTCTCTGTAATACAACCCACTTGTATTACCAGTATATCTCCATTATATTTGTCAATCAAGAAGTCTTAAATGCTTTTTCTATTTCTTTAAAACTACTTTATCTTTGAGGCATTGTTGCTAAAGCTTTTTATACCTACAATTTGATTAACCTAAATTCAGTAACATATGTTAAGTCTGAAAACAAGCACTTGTGAGCTGAAACTATTACTATTACTTCCTTCCACCCTTGTAAAGTTTACCCAAACCTCAGCATCTACTATATAGACTATTAACTTTTCTTCTAGTTTTCTAAACTCCTAATCCAAATGGTTTGAAAAAATGAACCTCTTCTACTAACTGACTCAGTAGCCTAGTTGATAAAATGTCTTGTTATACACTTTATTTTGTTTAGTTATTACAGTTTTCTAGATAATAATCCTTTATATAATATCATCAAAAATCTACATATCTCTCTATTTAAATCTTGCCAAGACTCAATAAGATACAGTCTACTAATACATTCTATAAATTCAAATTTTGTTACTAGTGGGATTCAAACTTTTGACCTACTGCTTGAGGATGCAACAACTTACCAACTACACTAAGTTACCACATCCTGTAATATATAATTTTTAATTCTATATACAGATTAAAGTACTTTTAATTAGATTTTGTTTTCTTTTCATATATTTTTTACCTATAGCTTAGATCTTTATATTAAAACTAAGTTTCTGTAATATTAGCATAATAGCTAATGGGTGTGTAGTCGCCAGCCTATGACCAATGGAAAAAAATCCTTAGTAAGTTTCAGACCCAGAGGAAGGCCAAGAACTACTAAGGCAGATCACATCGGGGCATTTGCTTGGGTAAGCGTTTGTTGTAGATTAGATTGTTGACGTTATAAAAGAAGTTCTGAGAACTTCAGATATAACCAGATCGAAATAAACAAAGGCGGGATAACCGAATTAAAAAAAAAATTTTTATCGTTTAAGTAAAATAAATCAAAAACAATTTCATCTTGAAATTTAATTTATAAAATTTTAACCCGCATTATATAATCGTTTATATAATTTTTGGCTAAAATTAACTTTTGATTTTTTTATTCCCACATAATTAAAATTAGCCTGAAACACTTTTTGCGGCTGTGATTTCATAAGTAAAATTTTGAGTAATTTCGGCCTAAATGTTTGATCGTCGCTCTAAATCAGTGTCCTAGGGATCGGCCAATAGTGCTTCAGGAATTTTAACCAATCATAGAGAGATTCACTGTTTTGTTTTTTTTATATAAATACTCAATTATTTTGTCTTTCTAGCATATTTTCTAATCACACAGACACAATGAAAAGTGGTGGCAGTTCACCAAAGATATCCTATTTCTGGGCAACATTATGCGGCCTTCTTAGTTCGAGCTGCTGCATTATTCAATTAATATTGAACATGTTTTCCATTGGTTGTGCCGGATTCAGTCTTCTTACACCTTACCGACCAGTATTTCTTAGCTTTACTGCAATATTGATAATCACCACAATATTTCAATACGGATTTAGATCCAAAAGAGCATTAGTGACAATTTTAATTTCAATACTATTATGCACATCTCCTGAATTCGTGTCGTTTTATAACCAAAGCAACATTTCCATGACTAAATTGTTCTCGACCGCACCTCTATCAGACAATTCAAATAAACAAATAGAAATTTTTATCCTTCAACTTAATGGTATTAGCTGTGAAGGATGTGCCAATCGAATAAAGAATAATTTTGATGCACAACCTCACGTAATTTATTCAAAGGTTTATTTTAAAAATCAATCCGCAATAGTCGGCACTCTTCCCGGAATTTATGAAGCAAATGATATCTTGACATGGGTCAAAATGATTGATTTCAAATACGAAGGAAAAGTTATTCAACAATATATCGTACTTAAAGAAGATTCGTCTTACGATGATGCATAATTTGTCTAAATTAGGGAGGATCATGTGAACAATGAATTACATTTAAAATTAAAATAACTTACTTTAAACGACTCTACTCCGAAAACAGCGACAATGTTAAAAAAGAAGATACCGTCACCCAACAAAAGCTCCCGTTCTTTTCCTGGCACAATGTTTCAGTTTTGGAAAGGTAACTCTTTAGTATCCAAACAACCTACGCCTAGTTCCTCAAAACATTCCCAAAAAGGGTTAAACTCATTTGAAACCAAAGCTGGCCTCTGGAATGTAACAATTAACATCAAAATAACCGACATATTTGGTATAGGAGTTTTGGCAAAAACATTTTCTTTAATACTAGACTCTCATTACAAATTTCTTGAAGATCAAAATGAAATTATTAAGCGTATCATAATTATTTGGGAAATTTTAATTTTAACAGTAATAACATTTTATTTGGGAAGATTAATAGACGTCGCTGTTTTGTTCATAAAGTTGGTTGATGATGGTATCAGGGGTACTATAGGTATTTTGGGTAGTGTATGTTATTTTTTAATATCAGGGTTGTCAAGATTGTTGCCTGGGTAACCCAAATGTATTTTATTAAATTTTATTATAAATGACGTTTAGTTGGAATTATCTTTACATAATTACTTCTTGTCAATCTTTTTTAGTAGTGTATCCCAATAAATTTCATGATTATAGACAAATTCCTGGTTTCCACCATATTCACTTTCTAATTGATCTTTATCAATGCTATCTAGAATATTAATCCATTCTGGGTTGGATTTCGTTTTGTCAGAATTTTCAAGATCAACAAACTTTATCTTATTTTTTGTGACGGGGTCTATAAAGGGAGATATAAGTTTGAAGAATCCCCAAAAGTACCAAGGAGCTAAAATAGTTTAAACAATGTATTCAATTTGTCTTGTAAAAAATTATTTGTGGTTAAGAGTAAACTTTTCTTACCATTAACAATTAGTGCCATTGCCAGTCTTTCGGGATAATGAGATCCTAAGACATGCATGAATTCTTTGGCGATTCCCAGGCCAGGACTTCTACGAGCAGAACACTCGTGAAAATCGATAACAATAACAGTGTTTTCCACATCTTCTGGCATTAATTTAATTGCACTTTCAAACATAAATACAACAGCCAAGACTTGTCTAGGTCCTGCTTTTGTATTTTCTAGCCCTGGTCTCAAATAAATAATAGGTCGTCCATGTTTATCAAATCCATTTATATGTATTTTACCAGTAACGACCTGTGAATTGTAAAAGATTTTCAGAAACGTAACTTTAGATATTCTTGTTAAGATTGAAATACCTCAGGTTCAACTCTTTCAGGTTCAATATCTGCAGGTTTATAGTCTCTCCGCCACTCCAAAGTATATTTTATCCTAGCTCTAGCCTCAGGTAAATGCCATTTGGAAGCTCGAAGGTAACGTTTTAAACAAGCATCTGTAACCCAAGAACGTTCGACTTGATGATGAGGATCCTCCTCAGGTAGCAAGATAGTGTTTACATAATTGGAAAATTCGGTAAAGACCTCTTTTTGTTCGACGCTAACTTCTGGCGAAAAAATTGGTGTAAAGTTTTCGGGTGGAATGAAATTAGGTATATTAGTTGGCATGTTTTATTCTCTAACACTACGCTAATGACGATAGCGATGACGATAAATTACGACTATATATTATTAAATTATGTTCTATAAGTCTATAGGTTTTTATAGGTTTTAGCTGAACCGAAACTTGTCTAGTCTGGTTTCTCATATCGATATCGACATGCATTAAACGCGTTGAGCGGCAGTAATCAGGATACTGTGTAACTTTAATGACACCATAATTCTATAAACGATTTTTGACCATCTTTATGATTCTGATCTACTTAAAATCCTTTTTTCTTCGTGAAACTAAAAGCGATGTCTTATCAAAATCCGGCAACTTTTTCACCTTACACGCCACCTCCTGACGAACGAAAGTCGAATCGTTATTCTTATATTCCTAGTTCTAGCGCTACTGCGTCGACTTCTGCGTCTGCTTCTGCAAACCCCTTTGCCGGAGTCTATCGAAAAACCGAGCAGGTACCTGAAGGTCAAGTAAAAATTAATAGATATGAGACAAGCCTGCCAATAAGGTTTGTTTTTTTTTTTTCTTTTTAGTGATCTTTCTATTAAAAAGATGTTATAGATTCTTTATTTCCGGTTTTAAAACGATTTTTACGGATTTACTTCGCGTTAGGGTCGATATTGAAGCGGCTATGACATATGTTTTAGGCTGTGTTACTGGTACTATGTCATTTTCGTCAAATTATTCTATTTCACAAAATAATTAATTTTTTCCTTTTTTTTTTAAAGGTCTCTTTTTTTTAATTACTGAGCAAAAAAATGATTATGTTCGATTTCACGCATGGCAGGTAAGAGAAAGAAATAAAATTTTATTCTTAATATACGTATTTAATTTTAATCTTTATTAATACTTTTTTATTGATAAAAAAACAAAAGTCATCCTTAGTATTTTCAACAATTTTCGTAAGTCACTCTTGTCATTAAGATTCTTTTAATAACTTTATTATTTGTGATCGCTAACTTTTTATGAATTAGGGAATCCATTTTGTCATATTGTTCCTTAGTGAGTTTCTAAGCTGGATTTTACTAGTCAGTGAGATAGGGCTTGCTGTTTTTCTTGGGTGAGATATTTTCTTTTATCTAGTATTAACATTTATATTACACTTTATTAATTCATCCTTCCTGAAAAATACAGTTATAAGGCCTATTTGGATGGTGTTGCTTTAGAACGTTTTGAAGTACCATTCTTTGGGCCTATGGCAAGTACGTGGGTAGATAACGAATAAATTTCATTAAAAAAGAAATATATATATATTATTTTAATACCTGATCCAACGTGCTAGCTCTCTTATTTTTATTTTGATAATTTGTCCAATCTTAACAATTGATAAATTAGTTTCTGTATCAAGGCATTTATTATTGTTATTATTTTATTATTATTATTATTATTATTATTATTATTATTATTATTATTAAAAAATATAGTAAGAAACTAGTGCGTATCAAATATGAAATTTTGTACTTAAACCCTTTTTACAAAAAAACATCTATTTTGTTATTATTGTCACGGATGATGCTGAAATTTGGTCCTATTTTGATACGAAATTTTAAAATTTTTTGGGATGGTTTTTACCGCCTTTTCTTTAGGGATTTAGGGTTAGGATTTAAGGTTAGAATTTATAATTAAAAAGTAAATGTGGATTTTAGCAGGTCTTTTATTTTAAAATCGAGACCCCAGTTTCAGCATCATCCGCGACATTTATTGTTTCTGAATTTCAGTATGTTAATTAATGTATTTGTATTTTTTGAATATTCTTTGTTGGATGTGTTTAATTTTGTGATTTAAAAATAAAATTAAAATTTAATCAATAAAATAATTTTTTATGCCTTTTTTTTTTTTGCAAATAGCACATTATACTTTTGACTTCTTTATTTGATTTAATTCATAAATGCTTTTTTAATCGAATTCGCCACTATGCACTATTCTAAATCGATATCAATTCGTAACTATATAGTCTGGAAGGTAGGATCCCAAATTGTATTTACTAAGTTTCGCCTCTAATTTGCCGTAATTATATAGTTACAAATTGATGCGTCTCGCCGATGAGGGATTCGGACTATTATTCTGATTTCTTTCGGTATCTTTTATCAGAAAAGCCTTTGACAGCGACACTTGAACTATTTCCATGATTGTTTATCTTCCTCAAGGCTAAGATTTGTATTATTATTGATGAGTAGGTCAAATATTTGAGAGATTTTGTATTCTTTGTTCAGTATTTCGATTTGTTGGAATGGAACCGGTTTTATTTTTCATGTGTCAAACCCAGTTTTAATCGAGTTTAACATGTGAAAATAAAATCGGTTCCAAACTCCAGAATTTATATATATGGGTAATTGAGTCCAGACAAAAAATGTTATTACGTCATATATAAAATTGGTCCAATTTCAAAAATAATTACCCATATAGGGTCTTTGCAGTTGAAAAGGCCTAAATGCTCTATATATTATATATAGCATTTAGGCCTTTTCTGCTGCAAAGCCCCTATATAAGATCAAGAATCTTAATGGGACTGCTTTTGTACATCATGGCTCCGGTCAAGTACGGCTGACTCTCATCCAGTACCCTAGTTGTGGCAGCAAAGTATCGCTAAACTACATTCTATTTAAACAATTGCTTTTTTTTCAAACATTTAAACAAGCATATCTTGACAACTAGCTAAAATCAATGAAAATGTTTCTTTATCTCGATTCTATATATAGAATCTTGTCAGTAGATCAATATTTTGATCATTTTTTAAAAATTACAGTTTTAAATTATATTTTGGTTAATAGAAATTTGTTAAATTTAGCAGGTTGCTTATATAACATAATGCACTGATCAAAGTACCCCCTTTTGCGTACCCCCACTCAAAATACCCGAGTATTTTTTTATATAGCATATTTTTTTAACCGAAGATAATACAAGGGTACTTTGCACGGCATTTTTCATATATCGATATTGATTTCTACATTACATATCGATATATAAGACCGTACAAAGTACACCCATACAAGATACCCGTCACCGATCAAGATACCCACGGGTACTTTATAAGTTTTTTTGGTTAGATTGTATTGGACCCCGGTTACTTTGGTCAGTGCACTATGATTTTTTTTTTTTTGCTTCAGCGATCCATTTAAATCGGAGTGTAGAAAACACAATAGAGGCTAATCTACTCTACAGACTATTACCCTGTACTAATAAAGAATTACTCAATGCTAAAACGCAATACGGATATATCTTATTACTTGCACCCAGGTGCGACCCGCCTAAGTGGCTCGTTTTTACCTCATCTGGGATTTTTTAACTTACTAAGGATTTAAATCTCAGGAGTCTATAGAAGGTGTCCAGTGACCTTGTTAGGATCACTGCCCTACATAAAATATGATAAAATATTAGTAAAATTTTGAAAAGCAAA